GAGAAGCAGGATTTCACCCATTCATTTAATCTAGGCTGTGCTAAAATAATTCTTCTCCATCATGGATTGGAAGACTTGTGGAACACTAAGTTTGGAAGAAGCATCTAGGTCCCATTGTTGCCTGCAAGGAGAGCTATGTACTACTCTATGACCAAAATACATGGGTCATGAATTTTAATGCATATGACCTCCCTCCACAAACTGCAAACGTCCTACTGTGTAGTCTTTTCTCTTTGAAAAAAAAAAATGGTTGTAGCATAGTCTGAAATATTGAATTGAATAAAATAGCCTCACTCTATTGTCAGACACCATTTAGTCAATGACTTTGGAAAACATAAAATCTCTAAAACACTGTTTTCCCATTTGATATATACATATAATCTTGTTACTACATATAAGTGTGTATGATATAATGTATATGAAATGTTAAATTATGCAAGGGGATAAGTAGTACTATATCATATAATACCTCAATATTAATCTTTCATATCATATCCTCAGGATAACTGCTTTTTTTCTCTTCCCAAACAGTTGAAACAAATGAAGTATACTGAAAGTTAAGGATGTGGCAATAAAAGATATTACTCCTACACAAATCTGTTCATTGTGCCAATATAATGTGCCAAAGTATAGTTAATTAGTATATTAAAATAAGCATAACTATATACATTAGAATTCACCAACAGGCAAAGTAATTATTATGGCATAGAAATAGTGATGAAAACACTCCTATTGCTTTTTTTTTTATCACATTTTAGACATTAATTTTATTCTTTTCAGGTTTTAATGTGTTAAACTCTTCCTTTAGACTAGATAATTAGAAAGATATGGTTCTATATTTTAATATGAAAATAATCTTTCATTATTAATCCATTCAAATCTCATCTAAAATCAGTTCATCAGTGCTAACAATTAAAGATAGAAAATATATGTGCTCAATTTCAAGAATTCAAAATAATGCCTTTCGAGTAAGCATTTCTTGTCTAGGGTGAGAGGATTGTTGGTTTTTCCAATTAAAGAAGTTTCTATACTGGAAATGAGTAGTCAATTGTGAAAATTATTTTTGAATAGCCAATTTGAATATCTCTAATTGTGTTCATTTCTTTTGAAAGATACAGAAGTTGGAATTTACAGTGTTTTGTTTGGTTACCCCAGCACTTCATTTATTAATTCTATTGTGAACAGGTTCCCCTATGAATTGTGGCTTTGAGTGCCTTTTCTGAGTAAATGTTTGAATCATAAGTAGGTTTGTTTTACTTAATGAATGAAAAATATCTAAAGGTCTACTAGCAGTTTTCAAGTTTACACACCACACTCTTTGGATTGATAGTAGCATCCCTGAGCTGCTGCCTGAATCCACACTTGAACTTTTCTGTATCAGCTGATGAGAAACACTTGAGGTTCACTGCAGTAGTGCCACCAGCTGACCAAAAGTATACTCTCTGCCCATGTTATCTGTGCAGTAATATCTGAGTGAGAGGTAGAACTATTTTTGCGGGGTTTTTTCCCTGATTGAAAAATTACTTAGCAATGAAAATTTGAAGTTTTTATTTGGTGATATACATAGCTCTCACATGAAGCAAAAGTGAGATGGAGATGAGAATAATTGGGTTAAAAGTGCTAATGTTGAATTTCCTTGGATTTAGGATTATTGGATTTTAGCTATTCAACATAGAAAAAGTCATGAAAAAAAAAATGAAATGAAAGTCAAGTACAAAAATTAGTCATCAGAGCCTGGGAGATGGCTCAGTAGAATAAGCGCTTCCCTGGCAAGCACAAGGGTCTGAGTTCAATCCCTGGTTCCACCAAAGAAAAACAATTAGTTATCAGGGCCAGCCAAATAGCTCAGCAGATTAAAGTGCCTGCAAGCAGGCACAGGGGCCGGTGGTTCAATCCCTGGACTGCCATGCCCGCCCTGCCCCTAAGGTGCGCCGAAGCAGCAATTGAGACTGGATGTGGTGGTGTGCGCCTATAATCCCAGCTCTTGGGAGGCTGTAAACAGGTGAATCACTATGAGTCCAATCTAGTAGTGAGACCCTGAACACCTTGCAAACCCTTCCCTAAAAAATACAAAAAAACAAAGTTATCTATAAGACATAACTAGACTATGTATATCAATACACTGTATTTATATGTATAGATTTAGATATTGTCCAAGAGGACAGATGTTAGAGATTTTGTAATGTGTTTTAGCTTTCTGAGACTGGGATGTACTTTTATCATATTTCTGTTCAGTGTGTACTTTTGTCTGTGCTAAGTCTATTTTTCAACTTGAGCATACTTTTTTTCTTAGGAATATTTTTGAAATAAAACATTAATGAATATTTTCAGGCAAATCAGAGAAATGTGATGAAAAGAGGAGGCAGTCCTTGTATTTCTTGAAAAGAGCCAAAATCAGCTATTTTAGGAATAGACACAATAAAAGAAGAAACCATTCATTATGTCATGGCCACAGAGCTCATAGACGTAATATCATTGATGAATTAAGAATTATGATATAGTAACTTGAAAATTTCAAGTTTGAAAAGATTAATTCTTTAGAACCAAGAAAAAATTACAATTCTCTAGACACAGTGTCTCTGTGATATGCATGTCCTCAAAAGTGAATGGTGTTGTTGCCTTGCTTGCAGCTGATTGCTGTGTTTGAGGAACAAGAACCACCCCACAAGACTGAGAGCCCAGGCGGAAGCGCTGCAGATTGGCAGAGCTCTGAGGCTTTGGAGACAGAAGTGGCTACATTTAAACCAATCGGTGGGGAAATCGAAGTAACCCCTTCCACTCTGAAGTTAGGTATGTGTACTGTCAGTGGCGGGCTGTTCACCTGGCTGTCATCTCATGGTTGTGTTGCTTCTTTATGACTTTCATCTTATGAATATTTTTTCTTTAAAAAAACATATTTGTCTTTCTCAGAATTGCTTTTGTAAAAAATTGTTCTTTGTGGCTTGTGCACATCAGCTAAGTACTGTAGATATTTTTGCCCTTGAACTGAAGGGGAATCTGAATTGCATGCCCTTGCAGTAACAGAGGGAGAGGCAAGATGGTAAGTGATGAGATGTGACAATCCTGTGAGGATTGCTTTTTAAGAATTTCTTGAAAAACTCATTTGGAAAAAGCAAAGGGTTACCAAGGAAGCCCAACAAGAAATAAAGCCCTCTTTCTTCCTCAGCTATCTTTTTTTTCTTCCAATGTATATCTCAGACTTAAGAGAGAATATGTTGAAGTTAGTTTTAAAATTCTTTCCTGCTGGTTTATTCAAATAAGAACAATTCATCTGGCAATTTTTCTCAGAATTCTTTTTCATAATATTTGTTTTGAAGGTGTTTATATAAAGAAAATAAACATTCTTCTAAAGTTTCAGTCAATTTACAACTCCAGCATATTTTGGTAATACCTCCTAAAGGTTAGCTCAATTTAGCAGCATGGAAGTTTTGAAAAATATGGTAATATTTTGGTTCATAAAACAGTTTTTGTTCCTGTCAAATATGTATACAACATTCTGGTCCTGCTTAACACACCTCTTTGAGTTTAATTCTAAGCCAGAGGATGGGCTTATCTCATTTTGCCAAGAAAGTTTTGGAGCACAAGGTATGCTCAGAGGATGCACATTCTCCATGTCAAGTGATATCTGTACTATTAAGTTGATTTTACATATCACTATACCGAATAACCATATTTGGTCCTGATACTCTGAAAAACATCTGTACTTTTTCTTTTAAAACCAACCACAGGCAAAGTTATGACCTAGAGACTTAATGCTTTTCTGCAGTTTTTTTGGAAGTCAGGCTAGCAAAGCAGTCTGCTGGTATCTGTGTGGCTGCATGGCACAGGATTGGGTGGGTAGAGGAGGCCTTGCAGCCTCATTTCTCATTTGCATAATGGATGCAGAGGCACCCATTATGCAAATGTATGACAGGAAAAGTAGGCAATAAGGGAAGACCAAAGGAGAAAATTGCTTGTTTTTAATATTTTACTTATAATCAAGTGCTATGAGCTCTAAAAGGCTTAACCTCAACATATCCAAGAAACTGGTTTTCAAATTTTCCTTTATAAAGTTTCTCAGGAAAACAATTTTGTTTTCTTTCAATGCTTTTACTTTTTTTTCCCATTGGATCAACTGAGCTTTCCCTTCTTGAAAGTATATTTTGTTCTTGTTCAGAACTGATATTTTGGTTAAAAAGGGACACTGAGCTGAAGTTAGTGGACTGAATAAAATAAATGCTTCACACTTAATACCCCATTTGAGTCTCAGAATACTTAGCTAGATTTTATTATTTTCTTCTTTTAAGAAATAAAGATTAGACACAGAGGTTTACTAACTCATAAAATCATATGGCTGTTGAGTGGCAAAGCCAGGATTTGAACCTTACTGGTCTAGTGTCAGGGACTGATCCTGTGACCCCAAGCTGCCTCTGATATGCTTTCCATAAAACAAAGTGATAAAACTTTCCTTCATGAGTATACACCAACAGTCTGAAAAGGCTCGCAAACTCAATTTTAGTTAGTAACATAAATTAAATGATGAAATTAGGCAACAGTCAAGTTTGGTGACAAAAGTTGCTGCCTCCCACACAGGGAGCCCAGAACCATGGCATCATCTGCAGCTCCTCCTTTTCCTTCTATACCTTTCCCTCTGTCCACTCTAGCTTCTCTGTCCACAGCTGCTCTGTCATGCCAAAGTATCATCAGTTAGATCACTGAGAAGGACCTCAAGTTGGCCTTTCACTCAGTGCCTTCCTTCTTAAGTCCATGCTATTGCCAGAATGACTTTTCTGAAGCACAGATCTGATTATACAAGTGTGCTGCTTAGAAAACATCCAGTTGTACCCGACTTCCCTGAGGACCATGTCCAAACTCAGCAGGAGGAATTTGGGCAGCAGTGAATGATGGGGGAGAGGATCATCCCTTTCCTTACCTTCTTGGTGTAGCAGATTTACTTTCCATTCCTAACATAATAAACAAGAAAATTATATATATATATATATATATCTGCTTTCAAGTAGAAATAGAAAAGTAAAGGAAGACAGCAAAAAGCCATTTTTGGTCTTTGTCATTCTCTTTTCCTCTTATTTGTCCCAGGGTAAGAAAGGGTCACAGGCAGGCACCTCAGGATGGGGGTATACAGTAGGCAGGAGATGTAGTGTTTCTGGCTCTTCAGGAGTATAACCAGTTGTGTTGTCTGCACTAAAATCCTGTTTAGGTGAGAAATTGGAAGGTACTGTCACAGAATGAATAGCCCTCCTCAGGTCAGAATGCCTATAACATGCCATTCTGCTTCTAAGTCCTCAGCCTTTTCATTGTCCCACTCGGTTCTTAGAAGCCATGAGGGCTGCTTTTGTCTCTGAAGGAGCACATTCACTAATATAGCCCAAGAAAATCAGGGCCTACTTATCACTGCTATTTTCATTCTTAAGGCCTAGTGAAGAAAATGGTAAAATTAATCATTATTTGTTTATACTCTTTTCTTATTAAAGAGTCACAATTAATAAATATTAGATATCAAAAGACTTTCATTCTTGCATCATTTAATCATCCAATGTGTCTTTTATTAATATCTCAGATCAAACTACACTCAGTGTTTCATACAATTTTATACCTTCTTTTCCAGTCCATGATAAGCAACAAAAATATCATGTGAAAGACCAATAACAACTCTCCCCATACTGTAGAATGAACACAGAGGTTGGCTCTCCTACTCAAGACTTAATACTCATGCACAGAATGTGCATGCATGTCATACTCACTGGTCTGCATGATGTAGCTATTTTTTCTTGGCCCATCTGTATTGCTAGTCACTCCATAGTCAAACTGTAAACACTCTGAGCCTCTGGCTATTTCCCAAATGTACTAATTTCTCTCAAATCTCTGAGTTTTGTAGGTAATGCTTCCTTGACTTGCATCACTCCTTTGGCTTCTTTTTTGTTTTTGTTTTTGTTTTTTTAAACCATGAATTCATGAACCTTTTAAACACACACACAAGTGAAACCTTTTTGTAAAACCTTGTCTGGATGTTTAAGGTAGTGGGATAAGTGTTAAAAAATGTATTTCTTTATTCTTCATTCAACAAAGATGAATGACAAAGGTAAGTATCAAAAATCTGCTAACTGAAAGGTTTCACATTTTCATGCTGTATGTATCAGTCAGGGTCTTATTAGAGGAACAGATATAGCACAAGGAAAGATATCACACAAGGTGTATAAATGCATAAGAAGGGGCCGGGGAGATAGCTCAGTAGAATAAGTGCTTCCCCGGCAAGCACAAGGGCCTGAGTTCAATCCTCGGTTCCACCAAAAACAAAAAAAAAAAAAACAAAAACAAACAAACAAAAAAATGTATAAGAAATTACAAGATTGGCTTACAATGCTCACTCAGAGTCAAATGAAGAAGCATGTAGAAGATATCTGCACACTGGAGACTGAAAGATTCAGCCCAAGATCTGGAGCTCACTGCAGTGTTCCATGCAAGTCTGTAGAGGAGGCCAGTGGGTCTGTGATGCAAGGCTGATGGGCCTGTGATGGAAGGCTGATGGGCCTGTGATGGAAGGTTGATGAGCCTGCAATGGAAGGCTGATGCAGAGGCCAGTGGGTCTGTGATGGAAGGCTGATAGGCCTGTGATGGAAGGCTGATGAGTCTACACCAGAAGGCTGAAGGATCCAAGACAGAGGCTGAAGAGTCTGCACTAGAAGCCAGGAGAGGACATCCAAGCTAACTGTGAAGAACAAGTTAGCTTGTGGGATGCACCATTCTTCCTCACTTCCCTTTTATATACTTTAAGTGATGAGTCACTCTAGGGTAGGGCCTCCACACCCTAGGGAGGGGCTGCCATGCAATTGGGTGTGGAATTGCTGAGCTAATTTAGTTAAGCTTTTAACTTCTCAAGTTACACAGTATGTCAACCACTGTACTGTATAAGTTAATGGGAAATATTTTTATTTTGTAAGAGAAGGTTTAAGTCAAGTGGACAACCACACAATTCCAACTTAATTGATCTAAATTATTTGTTGCCGTTTATTTTCTAATGGATTTTCTATTGTAATGTCAAATGACTGAACTATGACTTAGTCTCAACTAGCAAATCCTTCTAACATTTCAAGATTCTATATTTCAAAACTGGCCAGTGTCTATTTTTATATATCCTAAAATTGTTAACCTAAGAGTATGCTTAAGAGATAAGGTGGCTAAGACACCAGATGGAGTAGCAAAGAGTCACTCATCATAGAGAGGGTCATAATAGTAAAATCACATAGTTCAAAAATTTTCTAGATCTGTTCTGTGGAACATATGGGTCTTCTGAGCATGTTTCCATAGCTGAACAGATGTTTGACACTAGTGAGTTAATATTTATTCATGCTCCACTTCTGGATAAATAGCATTGATTATTGTAGCAAGGAAAGAAGGAGTCCAGAAGCATATTGAGTAGGCAGTAAGCAAAATGCTTCCTAGAAGTCCTATGGCAAAAAAAAAACAGCTTTACTCAAAAGCATTATGCACCTCTCAGAAGAGATTTTGTGAAATACTGGTTTTGAAAGGCACTGCTCCATATAGTTTGATGATTGGCAGGTGCCCAGACATTTGACATTGTATTACAAATGAACATGTAAAAGGTTAAAATCAGTGTGTCCTCTGATGTCCAAAAACTAATTGGTTAAGGAACTAGGATTAGAATCTGTGTCTCCTGGCTTCTAGTAGAGAGCTCTTTCTATTCCACAACACTTTGGGGATTAATTATAAATTTCAATTATACTTCTCTTTTCAATACTATATGTAAAATAGTACCTCATATCCTTTTGGAG